AAGGAGGGACAGGGGAACCTGCCTCTGCCCTTGGAGCAGGGATTGATCCCCTCTTGGCTGTTTGCAGAGCTATTCCCCTTCCCTTTGTCTTCACAGATGGCTCGCTAGCAAGAGACCTGTCAGGCTGGCTGCGGCCACATGCTTGCCCTGGACCCTCAGCACCTGCTTCCCGTATCCGTGTCTTTGCTTACAAGGTTCCTCCTCTTTCTGTGAGATGTCAAGCACACAAAGTATAAATGCACTAATCAATGCCAGGGGGCCCAGATGCTCATTCGGACACCGGTGGGCAGAAACGCTCGATTGTGCCATTGGCAAGGAGGTAAAGGAGAATGGCCAAGCAGGAAACAGCAGCTCCCTCCCTCTGCAGCTCCTCCTGGGCTTACGACATAGCTGCAAAGACCTTGCCTTCTGCTTGTGCCCGTGTCCGAATACCAGCTCCTGAACTCCTGCTTGGCTTTGAGGGACCAGCAGTTGGCTTTCGAACTCAGTTTTGTGAGCTGACTCAGGTCAGAGGTGCTGCCCCCTCCCTCCCAAAAGGAGAAAATTGGGACCTGAATGATCTTAACTGAAAGGGCAAACAAAGCAAGAGCAGCCAGCAGTGCTTTCCATAGCCCCAGGAGCAGCCAGAGGCCAAGTATCTTCTTTGCTCTTTCTTTCTGAGGTCTCACACCCCTCGTGTTCTCAGAGTTAGTCGGACACGTGCTCCACTTCTGGTGGGGTAAATTTCCACTGGCGTTAAAGGCCAGTTCCAAATGAACGCGCGTGGAGGCTCCTGCTTGCTGCCTTCGCTTCACCCATCGTCTTTCGGACGAGTACGTCCAGCACGTGGCCCTGCGATTCAGTCCGGCTGCAGGTGCCGCAGCAAAAGGTTCGTGACAGCTTGTGGGGAGTTCCCCCGTGTTGTTGCGAGAGACTCTGTGAGCCCCTGCAATCCTGCACTGGCAGGTGGCAACACTACGAAGGACTTGCGCCAAGCGCATTTCCACTTGCTGCTGGAGAGACCCTGGAAGGCACGACTGATCGCCTCTGACTCTGAAGTAGCGTGAACCCGGTCCAGCTGAAGAGGGAGGTGTGGGACAAAGATGGGCATGCTAGGTCCCAGCTTTCTAAAAGAGCTCTTTTATTTTTTCCTTACTAAAAAGCAGCAGGAGACCTGATGTGTTACTATGAAAGAAGGATTGTAGAAAGCCATTGGCCTCATCTCCCAAGATGAGTTATGCTCAGTGAAACCTGCCTGCCAAGCCAGGTATTAAAAATAGTTTATTTAGTGTTTGCAAAATCTAAGTGACAAGAGTGAACGTGTTTTATTGGCTCAACAGAGGAGATGGCAGAGAGCCAGAGGCCCGGCTGCCGCTCAGCTCTGCCACTGCCTCGCTTAGGCAAGCTGCTTCACCCCTACGCTGCTGGTCGCCCGCCTGTAAAAGAGGAGCGAGGTGTATCTGCTCCGATCCCCAAGCAGCATTAAGGATCATAGAGAAATTGGGCTGGAAGGGACTTCGGAAGGTCTC